CCAGAAAATTTGAATGTTTACCACTGCGCTGTGAGCACACTATTAGATGCTTCTATTTGACTCTCAGATATGAAGTGCACACCCCAAATATACTATTTAGCACCAAAAAAATAAAAATAAAAAATTGAATTTTTAAAACTCCAATGTAAGCAGTAGATTAGCAGCAAAACAATTAGAATGTTTACAACTGCGTAGTAAGCGCACTATTTGACTCTTCTATTTGACTCTCAGATATGACGTGCACCGCAGGCCGCAAATGTACTATTTAGCAGATTGGCAGCAAAACAATTAGAATTTTTACAACTGCGCTGTAAGCACACTATTAGACGCTTTGATTTGACTCTCAGATATGAAGAGCAAGCCCCAAAATGTACTATTTATCAGATTAGCATGTTCATTAGCATTGAAGTGCACCCCCCTAATGTACTATCCCACTAATGTACTATTTAGCACAAAAGAAAATAGACTTAAAACTCTGATGTAACCGCGGTATTTGAAGCTTCTATTTGACTCTCAGATACGAAGTGCACCCCACTAATGTACTAGTTTGCAGAATTCTTTCCTAAGCTGTCCCTATCAGCGGCAGCATCCTCTCCCTACACTAGTAAGACCTCATGTGCGTGCAGTGCTACACGACTCCAGCTTATATAGAGAGGCTGGGTCACATGCTGCATTAGTATGCATGGCTGTGATGGCTTCTAAGGGCACACAAGTCAAACGCTTGTTGATTGGCTGCCCTGCAGCCTTTGAAAACGCGCCATTAAATCGCCGAACACCGAACTCCAACCCAAACATACAGTGATATGTCCGTGTTCGGGTCCGGGGTCCAAAAAACGTAATGTTTGGTACGAACCCGAACTTTACAGTTCGGGTTCGCTCAACTCTAATACAGACACATACAAACAGATACATACATACAAACAGATACACACATACAAACAGACATACATTCAAACAGACACATACAGACAGACAGACACATACATACATACATACACATACATACATACATACAGATACAGACAGACAGACACATGCAGACAGACAGACAGACACATACATACATACATACAGATGCATACATACAAACAGACACATACATACAAACAGACACATACATACAGATATATACATACAGACAGACAAATATAGACCGACAGACAGACACATACATACATACATACATACATACAGATACATACATACATACAGACACATACATGCACATTTTTTATGTGTTTCCTACCTTTGGAGTGCAGGAGGCTGGTTCAGGCTGATGGGAGTCAGAGCTCCCACTCTGACTCCCTCCTTTTCTTCTCCTCCTCCTGCGTGGTGCTCGGTGAATGCTGGGAGGAAGTAACCGGTTGTCACTTCCTCCCAGCATCATGAAATCATCACAGAGTGCCCGGTCACACTCTCAAAGCTGCCGGGTCCCTGAAAATCCATCACCATCAGGTGGCCTTTAGAGCATTGACCACCCGATGAGACTCCACATCGCACAGCCCGCGGCGGTAGTTTTCTGCGATCCGCATGCACCACGGCAGCCGGAGGGCTAAAGGGGCAGCTGCTTTGGTCCCCCTAAAACTGACTGGGCCTGGGGCAGCTGCCCCTTTTCCCCCAGAGATGGGCCTTGATACTGCCTAACAGCAGAGTCTAGTGAAATAGGATTTTGATGGGTAGGATAAAAGGGTGGGCCACTGGTGTAAATCACGTAACCAGAACCGCCCAAAGGGACAAACATGCCCAAAGAGGGGGCATGTCTGCCCAAAGAATTAGATGGTCAGCCTGGTGTGAATGCACATCAGACAGCCTGCCAATCATGCAGGATGACCAACATATGGCATACTGTGCAGACAGCACCCTGAGCTTGACATAAATGTGTCTAATGATGCACTGGCGCTACGCTTTCCTCTTGCACTCGCTGGTCCTCTCCTCTCCTAACCTTCTTACTAGCAGGCGAAAGCTTCTGTTATACAGTCTGGGACAGAGGAAAGGTGTATGTAGTGAGTGTAGAATAAAGGGAAGGCGGGGGGACTTCTCTGGGCTCACAGGTTTTACAAGCTACACTACACTTGCAACACTATTTAGACACATGTATAATACATAGTTAAATATGCCTATAAATAGTATAGTGTGCATTCCACTCAGTCTATACTAGACGTATATGCCTAACCTGAATTTTGACATATGTGACTAACCTGAATTTATTAACCCATGCAACTGATGCTGCTTCACTCAAGATCTCGATGTGCACAAGGCATGTGGTGTAATAAAGCTGTTTTACTCTCATTTTGTTCCCAAATGGGCTCCTGCCATAGTTACATCTAAACATGCAGTGGTATACCTCTCTTGTATTTGCCTACAGTTATATGCTATAGCATTCTTGATTTACTCATAGTTTGCCCTACTAGCATTGTATACCTGAGGTTTCTTAATTTTCAAAAGAACAAAGTGCAGTATTCTTGCCGTTTCTTACTTTGTCTACTCCTTTTTATTGGCATGTATACGTCATGTGAAATCTCTTTATACTCGTGTTAATTATGCAATGCACAAAAAGTAAAATAGTGATTAGAGATGAAAGAATTACAGATATGATGCCCCTTCTTATGGAATGCCCTCCTGGGACATATTCTACTTTCTCTATATCTCTCCAGTCGTTCAGAAAATCCTTAAAAATACATTACTTTCGAAAAGCCCACTAGCTCCCTCCTTAACTCCTCATCTCCTTTTTACTGTGCTCCTTCCTTGCTTCCAAACACCCATCCCATCCCTCGGGTACATACTGATCACAAGTTCCCTTTGTGTATTTTTCCTGCATCCTTTTAGATTATAAGCTTGTTTGGGCAGGGCCCTCTTCAACTACTGTCCCAGTATATCATTCATGTTTTATTTGGATTTAGTGTCTGTTTTGTTTACTTTTGTACAGCGCTACACAATATGTAGGTGCCATATAAATAATTATAACTGCAAAAGTTGTTTTCAAAAGAGAGCTCATAACAATGGAAGAGACATGTGTTCTGAACCTAATATAACAGAGTGACATTAGGCCGAGATGTGTGTTGGGAAGTGAAGAAATAAAAGAAATATAAAAGTAGAAAACAGGAAATAAGGCCAACGCCTTGAGACAGAAAAGTTTATAGCTCTGTGTCTAGGGGTATATTCACTAAGCATTGTATAGATACAGTGTATTATTCCTAACAATGTGCTTAGTATTACTGTTGGAAATATTTTTTTTAAAGTTATGTAGGCGACGTATATAATCCAAACACAATTGTTTATATATATAAAAAAAAAAAACAACGACCATTTCAGGCTTGCTTGAAAATGGCAAAAGCCAAACCAAAGAAGGGAAAACATGTGTGAACAACCCAAAATTAAGCTGTTATGGTGAAGGTTTACTAGAAGGAACTCAATTACACAAAAAACATAAGTTTGTATGCATAGAACGTGGTCCCCATTACAATGTAAAAAAAAAATCATTGTCCTAGGCTAATTCCTACATAGATACATACAAATTGATGGAGTGTCTTGGTCTACAAAAATGGCATACAATGCCCAATACAAGCTGTAAAGACAAAAAGGACAAAATAGGAGACTATGGGAATATATAGAGGCGATTACAGGGGCATTTTAGGGCATAGATTATCCCTTTTGAATGGCACGTAAGGTGATCTTTTATTTTATAATCCTGTCCCAAAAAATCTTTTAGATCTAGCAGATGTCTTTTTTATTTTTAGTAGTTCTACACGGTAGGCATTCTCCACAACCGTAGAATCCTACAAGTTTATTTAAGAAGTGGTCTGGTCTGGCGTGATCCAAACTACTCTTAACCAAAATATTTTTTAGAATTGAGTCAGTTCCTTTTGGCTCTGGGTTTGTGAGTACCTACTACATACTATACTTCAAGCCACAAATATATTTTACTGTATTGCACTAGGTTTTGTCCTTTTTGTCTTTACAGCTTGTATTGGGCATTGTATGCCATTTTTGTAGACCAAGACACTCCATCAATTTGTATGTATGTATGTGTTTTAACTTTTTATGTGGTCTGAGGGGTTACCACATTGGTGTTGTTAGTACTTGGTTTTTACATTTAGTCACTCGCTACCACTCAGTACTTGTATTACTGCTAATTCCTACATAGGTTTAAGGTGGCCTATTTTCTACTACACGTAAAGGCCTCACCCTCTAATTATAATCCATCTGAACTCATCAGAACACAAGATGACACCCAGCTTCTAAAAGATGAGGATATGCCATCTTGAGCTTAAAACTCAAATCACAAATTGTACTAAAATATAATTGTCTTACTTATTGTGCTAGCCCTTCACCAATTTTTGTTTTTCAAACTGCACCTGCCAAAGGAAGAAAAAACAATAAGTGAGATTACTATTGCTATGTGCCTAGTGGTGAGAGGTTCTTGGTCCTGTAAATCCCTTCCTAAAAGTCTCCATAGCACTGGTGATCTCTACAGAAAAGAGAGAAGGGGGGTATATCGTCACATATTTTATACCTTTATCGTTTGTGCCCGTACACTAGAGAATGCATAATGTTTACATAGTGTGGTATAAAAAGTACATTGTTATTATGGGTTACAGAAAAGTAAATGGGGGTAGGTAACAGGGGGGTACATTGTTTTGCCCTTTGCTTCTTAGTACCGCTTCGACTGTCATGTTTCCGTCTGTTACTCCAAGGTTTCTCTGGCACCAACTAAGCAAGAGAAACCTTGGAGTAACAGACGGAAACATGACAGTCGAAGCGGTACTAAGAAGCAAAGGGCAAAACAATGTACCCCCCTGTTACCTACCCCCATTTACTTTAATCTTGCTTACTTTAATCCCGGGTCCCAGACCCCTACAGCCTGGTACAGGCTGCCATTGGTTTGGTTGTCTGCCCAGTATGTTCTTTTGGCTGGTGGTGCATTTTTTTTTTTAAGAGTTAACATAGGTTACCCATGTCTACCACTGTTCATCAAAGGTTTGCCGGCTTTCTGCTGTATTTCATACGAGTAGTATTGGTGGACCTTGGTTTTGAGTTAAATGAATGTAGTACATGTTTCCTGTTTCCACCCCTGGGCCAATAGGTTCCTGGCTGCTAGTAGTGTCATGGCCGTTATTTGTCTGGCTGCCCTGGTAATACCCTTGGGAAATAGGAGAAAGAGATATATGGCTGGCGTTCTGGGAATATTCTCCACCTTTAGGGTCTGGAGTAGTCTCTCTAAATTTGCCCATATGGGTTGTATGGTTGGGCATTCCCACCAGATGTGGGTTATATGTCCGTCTGTTGCGCAACACCTCCAACAGGTAGCCAGCACTGAGGGGTATGCTCTGTGTAGTCTGCTTGGTGTTAAATACCACCTGTATATAAAAAGAAATTGGGTGCTTCTATGTGTGAGTAGCACTTTGTAATGCCTTGTAGGGCATTGAGTGCTCTCTGCCATTCCTGTCTAAGTGTGTCATATTTGAGTTCCTTGGACCACTATGTCATATAGCTGTGTGGCTTGTCTGTGATATTCTCTACCAGTGCAGTGTAGCATTTTCATAGGGATTTTGGCCTTGTCAGGGTCATTTTACACCTCGTGAAAATATCTTGGTACGTTTCTTATCTCGGTAAATTTCTGTGTTTGCTCATTGTTGTGGGTTTTGTGTTGTTCCATGCATTGTGAGGATTTGGTTGTCTTGTATAGGGTATTTGTGTTTTAGTTCGGGGAAAGGTAGCATTTGTCCTCGGTGGTATAGGTCTCCTAGTGTGGTTATCCCAGCGTCTTGCCACGGTTTGGCTGATATCCATGGGGATAATTGTTGTATCGCCGTTATGGGTGAGTGGCGATGGAATTGATTGTGTGCCGATTTCATTTTTTGGAACGCGTCCCATATCCGTATACCTAGAGTGTCGTAGGGTAGAAATTATATGTTGCCTGTCTAAGGTGGGGTGGTGTCCACAGGAAGTCCGTGGGGGAAGCACCTGGGACATATTTGTGTTCCATATCTACCCATTGTAGTGTGCCTCCTGGGGAGTGTGGTTTGATGATAGTCTCTAGCAAGGCTGCTTTGTGGTATAGTAGTATGTTGGGTATACCCAGTCCTCCATGTTTTGGTTGGATTTGTATCATGGTCATGGCTAGTCTGGGTTTGCGATTGTCCCATATATAGGCATTGAGTAGCTACTAAGGTTTTTTGTATGTCGATATAGGAGCTTAAAGTGGCAACATTCATAGGATATAGAGTATTTTTGGTAGTGTGATAATTTTTAACGCATTTTTTCTGCCTAGCCATGGTAGTTTAACTGATCTCCACTTATATAGTTCGGTTCTACATGTTTGTATCAGGGTATTGTGGTTCTGTTTAATGATCTGTTAGGGTGGAGTGGAGGAGTTGCTCACTCCCAAGTAAGTGATGACGACTGTTTCCAGTTGAAGGTGTAGAGGTTACGTAGTGTCTCCTCGTCTTTGGTTCGTAGTCTTATCGGTAGTGCCTGCACTTTACTTTTATTCAGCTTATAGTAAGAGATGCTGCCGTATTCTGCCAATAGATTCAATAAAAAACTGGCAAGGGTTCTGTTGGGTCTTCCTGAGTGAGCAAGATGCCATCAGCGAACATCGATAAGCAGTATTGCTTGTTCTTAATTTCTATCCCACTAATGTTTGAGTTGCTCCTTATTTTGTATGCTAGGGGCTCAAGGAAGAGTATAAAGATGAGAGGGGACAGGGGTCAACCCTGTCTGGTCCCATTAGTTATTGGGATGGTGTTGATAGGACTACTCTAGCTGAGGGACTATTGTATAGAGCCAGCACCCCATTCACAAAATCCCCTAGGAAGCTAAATTTTAGGAGTACTTGCCTCATGTATTCCCAATTTAGGCAGTCAAAGGCCTTCTCTCTCTGCATCTAGTGCAAGGAGAAGGCCTGCCTGGTTATGGGCCTCCATGTGAGAACGTATATTTAGTATTTTTCTTGTGTTGTCTGATTCCTGCCTACTTCTCACAAACCCCAGACTGATTATTGTTTATTATTCTAGGTAGGATATTGTTCAGTCTGTTTGCTAGGATTTTTGCATTTATCTTGATATCTCAATTTAGCAGGGAGATTTGTCTGAAATTCTGGCATAAGGTGGGTGGCTTACCTGGCTTTTGGAGCATTGATATGTGTGCCAGTAGCATTTCCGGTGGGAGTGCGCTTTGTTGGTAGCACTGGTTGAATAAGGTATTAAGGTGTGGGGCTAGTATTTCAGTGCAAGGCTTAGTGAGTTGTTCAGTTTCTGAAGGGAGTAGGCTGGGCAGGCAAACAGTGTCCAGAAAGGTTTGAAATTTTTTCTATGATACAGTGGGGAGAGGTGTTTGGGTGTTTCTGGGTGTCAGTTCCTAGGTTATAGAGGGATCTGTAGTATGTGGCAAATTTATCCACAATGTTTTGCGGGTTGAGTAGTTTGCTACCTGTTTTGGACTGGATGTATGCTATTCTAGTGTTGGGTAGGCGTGTTTTGAGTTTGGAAGCTAGGACCACTCCAACCCTGCTGCCTTGTGCAAAAATTTGTGTTTTAGTTTACGGAGTAGGTAGTGTGTTTTCTGTTGTTCCATGTCTCTGAGTTGGTTTTGTAGAGTGAGAATCTGTTTCTGCGTTGTGGAGGTGGGGTCTGTTTTGTTGTTGTGTGTGAGCGCCGCCAGTTCCTGGATAATTCTTGTGTATTTTTCTTCTCTTTGTTTTTGGCGTGACTTGCTGCTCCAATGAGGTGACCCCTGATCACCGCCTTGTGTGCTTGCCATATATTTTCAATATTAGAGTCTGGGGGTGCATTGGTCTGAAAGTAATTTGTAAGTTCCGTTTTGATCTTGGCTACAATTTTGGGGTCAAATAGTAGTGTGTCATTTAAGCACCAAGTCCCACCTCCCTGGTGTGTGCTTTTCTGTGATTGATAGTCTTATGGGGGCATGATCCGGCCATGTTATTGTTCCTATCTTTGCATCTTGAATTCGTGTTATCAATGTGGTTGGTAAGAGGAATCTTTTAATCCTTGTGTATGTATTGTTTACCGGGGAATGGAACGTGTTGTCTCCTTCTCCTGGGTGAAGGATGCACCATGGGTCTACATAGCCATGCTGGGTGATTGTTGACCAGTTTTATGTTCGTGGTTGCCAGTTTCTTGGTCACCATGGGTTGACATGTACCGTGTGAGGACAAGTCCAGGGAACTGTTTAGGAGGACGTTTGTGTCTCCGCCTATAATCACTGAGCCTAGTCCGTGTAGTATGGTCCTTGCAAATATTTTCTCTAGGAAGTCTAGCTTATTTTCATGTGAGCCATATATGTTAATGAGGGTGTATTTTTCAATATTTAGGACATATTGTAGTAATAGTACTCTGCCTTCTTTGTCACCCACTTTTATGATAAGAGAGAACGAAACATCTTTGCTTACCAGGATAGATACACCTCTTCGTTTCGCTTTATAGCAGGAGTGGAAATTATGTGGGAATTGTAGGCAACCTTTTTTTTTTTTTAGCATCTGCTAGTACTAGTCGTCTTTTGTGTGGGGAGTTAAGGCTTTTTACATTCAGAGATAGAATGTTTAGAGCCATTATATATGTTTAGAGGGGTTGCATGTTCTCTCGATTTACTAGAGGTTCTTGATTAGGTTTGTTTTCTGTTGGTGACCATTGTGCTAACCGTTGTTGTGTTGGATGCGGTGTACCATACCCCAGCTGGCCGACCTTCACTACCAATCTCTCCCCCAGGTGACCTCTGGTGTACTTTGTGTCCGGTCGGTTATAAATGACCCTGGTTCTCGGTTTGGTTGGGTCTAGACCCTTGGGTCCCCATTTTCTAGATTCCCTTCCCCAGGACAGGTATTGTAGGTTACCATCCCTGAAAATACTAAGAATCCGTGCATGTTATAGCTATACAACATTTTTACAGGCAGATATATGTGAGTATAGAGAGATGTAGAGGGCAGAAGAGAATGGGTGAGATATAACAAGTAATAACTATTTACAAATTTCCGTCTGGTGTGAAAACAGAACTGTTCCAGTCGAAGGTGGCTTGTGGTTGCCTGCATATGGGGGTGGTGACTGCATCTATAGTGGCGTTGCTAGGGTGTGTATGTTGTAAATCAGTACAGCGGGATACTCACCTGTATGTTGTGTTGCTTGTGCTCTAAGGTTTGTTGCTTAAGTTCCTTTCATTCAAATGTATGTATTATCCCCCCCCTCCACAATTTAGTAAATCATTTTTAATTATTTTTTTTATTTGGTTATGCGTCTTGTGTAGGGAGTGGAAGCGTGATGTTGGGGCTACATGCTGCACCATAAACGTAGGGTGCCAGGCGTGGTGGTGGTGGTGCCTTGTGCACACCATAGACTATTGCTCTCAATTGGGAATGTGGGGCTACACGCCCAACCATAAACTTATCATGTCAGGTTGAAAGGTGTGGATAAGGGCAGGGTCCCTTTAGTTTGGGGTTTTGTTGGTCTTATATTGCTGGGGAAAATCCATACTATAATGTACATCAGACTGCTTTTTTTAATTTATTTTTTATTTATTAGTTTCATACCTTAGAGGGTGGTGTAGTGTTGTGTGTTTTTAGTGTTTTGTGCGTCCTTTGGGTCTCAGTGTGGACTTAAGAAACCATAGTAAGTACATATATGGATTTGGGGTTAACTAGTGCAGGTTGGCCTGCTAAAATGAAAAAGTCTTAAGTACAACTCCTGGATAAAAGGAGTCCAAAACGTTTGTGGGGCTACTTGCCCAACTGAAAACTTGAGGTGAAAGTTTTAGTGTGTCATGCTTCACTCGTTTTGATGCAGTGTTCGCCACTATAATTCTGCAGAGCTGCAGGTTTAAGCATCCATCTTGTTAGCACTAGTGATCTTTAAACATGGTAGGATACTAGATTAGCAATCACCATTTTCATTAGGTAGAACGCCCTCTTATCGCCATTAGATATTAACACTCTCATTGCTATTGGGGTTTTTGGAACGATTGAAAATTAATCAATTAAAAACTTACAAGTTTGACCTTTTATTTTTATTTTTTTTATTCCTAACACTGTAGTTTTTCTTTAAATTTGAAGTTCACTTTGAATTCACCTTGAAGCGAATAGCCTTCACAGCCTGCCAGATGGGCCTGCAAACATGCAGAGAGCTACAAAAACTGTCTTGTACATTCAGAAATGCCGAGCTATGGACTTGCATTCATGTTACACATTATATGGAGTTTTTCTGATGTCCTCTTTACCTATAAATGTATCTACTGAGGAGCAGCATACTGCTCGCAACTGGTATATTTTAATGTCACAAAGACCATAATTTATATTGAGAGAGTTCATTCTGCATTACATGTGATAACAGGCCTTGTTAGAGAATGCTAA